CGCCCCGGCGGGTGGCGCAGCGCGGACGGGTGGGCGCGCAGGAGGGAATCGCGCTGGCCGGCGCGCGGCAGCCCGAAGTCTTCGGCCGGGAGGAAAGAAGGAGCCGGGTCTGGTCCGGAACGAACCGAGAACTTTCCCGGGGACCCTGGTGCGTGGCTGCGCCGCGCTCCGGCCGGATGGTAGCGAGCCGCAGACCCGGTATGCTCAGGAACAGCCGCCCAGCGAGGGAGCTGGTGTCGCCGTTCGGGGTCGCGATCGATGGGGCAGGGCCGGGAGGACGCCGCGTAGGCTGCCCCCACTCGGCCCTGTGGGCAGTGTTGGTCCCTCCTCCCCGGGGGGCCACCCGAGGCGGCGGCCGGGACGGGAGCGCTCCTGTCGTTCCTGTCGGGGCAGAACGGGCTGCGCCGTGCTGGCGCGGCGTCCAGTTTTTATCTCGAGACCCCCAGGTGTTGTCGCGGGCGTTACAGCAGGACAGCGGATTGAGAAGTGAAGGCCGGGAAGGCAGGTTCCATTCCGAGTCCTTAGCTTACTTGGAGGGGGAGTGGTGGTTGTTGAACTTAAAGCAGCCCGAAGAAGCTCGCCAGGCTTTGCCCAAAAGAAAAAATAAACAAGGGGGCGGGGAGGAATAAATAAACACATGCCAGGTATTTTCCCTTCAGCATGTGGTTTCTGTCTTTTCTGATCACGAACCTAGTTGACTAATATTTGCCTTTTATACTCCAAGGTGTCTTTTAAAAATACCTGAAAAGTTCAGTTTATGGTCAAGCAGCTTATTTTATTCCTTCGGGATCTTCCCTTTGAAGCCTTAGTTGCTCAAAGGAAGAATTCTTAAACCCTGAATTCTCCCCGTGCACGTTAAATTACATAAGCAATTTATAATTTGAGGCAACATAGCAATTTGAAACAAATAATGGAGCCAAAACCAAGCAAAGAACTGAGGCCATTCTGTTCTCCACCCTGTCATCACCAAATCCTCAAAAATCCCTCGGAGTTTCTGCCAGACCCTTTTCTCATAATCTGGTGCAAATCTGGTCTATCTTGCTGTCAGTGATGGCTGTTCGTAAATAGTCTTGGAGACAGGGTGTAAAAATTATAGGAAAGGGAACAGGAACTATAGTTTTTGTTTAAGATGTTTAAAATTCAAGTGTTTCCATTTTCTTTTTTTCTTTTTTTCTGTTTTTTTGGTTTTTCTCCGGTACTGGGAACGAACTCATGACCTTACGCTTGCCAGGCAGGCGCTTTTGCCGCTGAGCTAAATCCCCAGCCCCCAGCTAAATCCCCAGCCCCCTCCATTTTCTAAATTTTTAAAAAGCTGTAATAAAGAACTTTTGTAACTGATAGAGTTTTAAAACTCAGGTAATCATAAGTGTTTTAAAATCCACCGAGCAGGAATGAAACGTTTCTCCAGTTTTCCTTCTAATTTATGCTTTGTATCCTGAAATGTGCCTTTGAGATGTCTGTGTTTGGTCTTAGTTTGCGAAAGTCTTCCAGGATAAAAATCTCATTTTTCTCTCAGTGCTGGAAATCGAACCCAGGAGGGCCTCTTGCATGTCAGGCAAGCGCTCTACCACTGACCTATACCCTCAGCCGGGTGATGGGAATCTCACTGGCAGAATTAGAATAGAGATAAGAGTGCTGTCGAAAAAAATTAAAAATAGAAATTAGATTCTTAGATTCTGTATAGTTTTGAGTTTTTCATATTGCATACAGTGCGGCTGAATGATTTGCTGACCAAATAGGAAAGACAGGGTGTGAATATGTGTAGAGTCTACATTGTAGAAAAATGGATCAGTAGTTAAAATTTAAGCACCACTTTTCTCCTCTACCACGCATACACATAAACAGCTCCTCACAAAGACACACAGGAGGGAAACTGCAGCCACAGGTTCATTTCAAAGCTTTCCAACTCTTCCTTTCTTCTGGGTCTCTGATGGGGGCGCCAGTGAGCAGCAAATGGAGACACAGGGTACCTAAAGAGGACCAGAGAGAGAAGGTGGGGGAGGAGAAATAGGAAAGTGGATTAAAGTCAGGACTTTATTAGCCCATGATAAAACTGTTATCCCCTTAGAGTAAACTGGGCTTTTAAAATGGTTAATGTTAACGTTTCTCTTCCAAATGGATACTGTAATATGTATTCCGATACCTTGTAAATATTTTTTAAGGAGAAGCTTGAGTTGTTACTGGTAAACTTTATTACAATGGCTTCAGAAATGCTTTGGCTGGCACACACCTGTAATCCCTCAGCCTCTGGGAGGCTGAGGCGGGAGGATGGAAAGTTTGAGCCCAGCCTGGGCAATTTAGCAAGACTGTCTCAAAAAATAAAAAAGAGGTGGGGATGCAGCTTAGTGCAAAGACCCTGGGTTTAATCCCCAGTACAACAAAACAGTACAATATACCTTGGGCGACTTAAAGATAAAAAGTAAAAAAATAACAGCAACAAAACAGGGGTGGGAGATGAGACTGTAACTTAGTGTGAAGACCCTGGGTTCAAATCCCAGCACCTTGGGGGTTAAAGAGATAGGACTATTTTTGGAAATAAGCAGAGCATTTATTTTTATTTTTATTTTTATTTTTTTGAGGCAGAGTTTTGCTGTGCAACCCAGGCTGGCTTCAAACTTGTAGTTCTCCTGCCTCGACTTCCAAGTGCTGGGATTACAGGTTTGAGCCATCACACCAAGCCAACAGGTCCTATTTTTAATGAACAGATGAATTTTTAAACGTTATTCTGATCCATTTTCTTAATATGTTGAGATGAACACAGTTTTTTTTTAATTAACCATAATTTAAATCTTGGTGGGTGTTTGTTTTTGTTTTTATTTTGAGGGTAAAGGAATACTAGGCAAGCACCCTAATACAGAACTGCACCCCAGCCCTAATCTTGTTTTTTTTTTTTTTTTGCAATAATTTCCAGAGATTCCCTGGAGAAGGGCCAGTGGGTTACTAGTGCTGCTGACTTGGGAACAGGCTGCCAGGTAGAAAAAGAGCCAAGACTGAACACACATGTACCCCAGCTACTTCCCACATTCTAACCAGAGTGAGAGTTTTGAAAACGAATCTGATTGTGTTGGCCCCTCTGTTAAATATCCTCCAGTAGCTTCCCTTTCCTCACCAGATTTTGCTGATACTGACCAGGTCCCCTTCCCTTTTTGACTCACTTCTAGTCATTTCCCCCTTTCCTGCTCCTCCAGCCACCTGCCTGTCTTCCTTCTACTGTCTTTGTTCCTGCATATGGAACCCTCTGTCCCCCCCATCCTGGATCCTTTGGAGTTCAGCTCAGATGTTTTCCTGAGAGCGCTCCCACCCTCAGCCACTGCTATGGCCACTGCCCCGCCCCCCCTTAGGAGTAATTTCCTGGTGACACTTCTCAGTACCTGATCTGTTCCTACTTTTTAGTGGCTTCTCCTCCACTGTCCCCCTCTGCGCTCAGTCCCACGCATCTCTTCAAGGCTTCTTTCCCTTCTTTCTTCCCACTGGCTTTTCCAACAACAGAATTGCTGCAGCTCTCAACCTTAAACATTTTGGCTTGATTGATAGAAAATCTTTTTTTGTTGTTGTTGCAGCGCCCAAATGATTTCATTACTGGAGAAATTAGGAAATTAAAAGAAGTTAGATTCTGAGATGACACAAACCCCAAACACATCGATACTCTCCTTAACTATTCCAACTAGGAAAAAAGTCAAAAGCTGATGAGGGAGTATGAAAAAGAGAGTTTTAACATTCCTTGGCAAGGGGCACCGGGACCTGAATGCCTAGACTTTGACCCGAGGTCACTAGTTTATTGTAACCCGAAGCGCATGGCTCTGGGTTGGTGTACAACGTCGCAAAGGAGGCTGATGAATACAAACACGGAGAAAGAGGGCTCCCCACGCGCACTCCTTGGGACTGCAGTGAAAGCATTAACAGTTCTGACCTCTGTGGGCCTTGGGGAAGCGTTGACTCTCGGGACTTCCCGTTTATTTTTGGTGCAGTGGGATGCTTTTTCATAGAACTGTTGAGAAGGATAACATGAGCTCTGAGCACAAGGAAAATGCTGGAAAAATACTAGCCGTGATTACCAATGGTTCCCTTCTGTGCTTCTGAAGTCAAATCTGGGAGTGATCCTTGCTCCTGAACAAAAGCACTTTAGGTTACGTTTCCTAGAAGTTTGATGAGCAGAACCCACACAGGGTTTGGCAATTCCCGGAGCCTGGCCCTACCCTTCCCGTACCTTGCCTTGCTGAAATCAGACTTGATGCACTGCAGGAACAGCTGCCTGTCCTGTGGTTCTCGGGAAGGTATGGAAATGAAGTCCAGTTCCTGCCCAACTTTTCCCACATTGCTACTCCGGAGTGGCTGTGTGTTTGGTTTTGTGTTTGTTTTGATTTTGGTGGGCATCCAAGTCATGCCTTTCCTTTTTACCAGCTCCCACTAGGTTTTCCAAATGAAGTCTTGTGGCTCCAGCAGAGAGAGAATGAGCATTGTGCTATGCGAGTGTGCTCGGGGTGGGCAGTGAGCCCAGAGGCACTTCTGGCGGCAGGTGCTAGCCGAGCCCTTGGGGGACACTGGGCAAAGCTCTGACTCCTCTTCCCTGGAACGCTGGGCGTTTGCTCACCTCTTTTCGGAGGAGATAAACCTGTTCCCTCTCATCACTCCCCCTTGTGCCTGCTCTTCTTCCTCCTGCCAACTACTGATCCTGCAGCCTGGCTCGGTGGAGTGTTTCGTAAGGATCTCTGGGTCTCTTTTGGAAAATAGGAATATTGAGAGTACCTGCCAGCCAGGCTTTCTGAGCTTTCATTTTCTTTGTCTAAACTGTGGCTATTATACTGGGTGGGAAGTTTGTTTGTTTGTTTTGGCTTCCTTTGAGATAAGGTCTCCCTTTGTAGTTTAGGCTGACCTTGAATTCACAGTGATCCTTCTGCCTCAGCCTCCCAAGTGCTGGGATGACAGGCATACGCCATCATGCCTGGCTTGGGTGGGAGGTTTTTAACCATAACGATGGCCCTGTGGCCCACACCTTGGCCCCAACAGCACTCTGGGTAGCTTCATTCCACTTTCTGGGTTCTGTGGCGGGGCAGGATCCAGTGGGTGTGGCGGTGTGTGACGTACTGAGCTCCAAACCCAGGTCTCCTCGGCAGGCTGCGCTTAAAGTGATAAAAAAAGAAAGGGTGATCTGATCTTCCGCATCTCACTGAGATTTCTGAAGTATGTTCTTCCTTCTT